GTACCCTTGCATCCTCGCCCTGCCGGTCCATCACCGTTATTGTCCGTTGGTCAGCGCCTTAGGGCACCCTTGGGGCGGGGCGTCAACATGGCGCCCGAAGTCCCTATCACCCTTGCCGCGCATCCTTGGTATCCTGGGTGGCTCTCGAAGCCCTCTCTGGTTCCGAGGCGTCGTCGTTGGTGCCTCTTGGACCGTTTTGGCGGCCTCGGGTGCTACTTCGGATCTCACGGTGGGCTTCTCGGGTGCGTGTCGGGCCGCCGCGGTGCCCCCTGGAACCTCGTCCCTCCTTCTTCCCCCCTCCCCCACCGAAGCCCCGATGGGCCCCGAACGACTCACCTTCTGGCGTGGGTTATTCAGCCCCTCCTCTTTTTCTTCCTCTTTCCCCCTCTCCGCCTCCTCCTCCTCCTCCTCCTCGTTCTCTTCCCCCTCCTCCTCCTCCTCCTCCTTCTCCTTCTCCCCCCCCTCCTCCTCCTGCTCCTCCTCCTCCTCCTCAGCCTTAGGACATGGTCGCGAAGGGCCTCCTGGCGGCGGAGCCTGGCAAGCCAGGCATCCTGGCGGTCATGGCCCGCGAGGTGGACACCGAGATCGCCATGCAGTGGGCGCGGGCCGCCGCGGCCGACGCCAGCAGACGGCGCGCCGTCTCGCCATGCACGGGATCAGCCCAAAATGTGACGATGCCTTCTTTCTTGCCAGTCGAGGCCGTCTGGCCTCCAAGGGTCCCCGAAGGTACCCCGGGAGGCCCCAAGAGCGCTCAAAGAAGTCCCACGTCGGCCCCAGGACGGCCCGCGCGGCGGCCCTAAGAGTGCACATCCTCGGCCCAAGGAGCCTCCAAGGCGCCCAAGATGGCCTTCAAGCTCCCTCATCAAGGCAACTCGCCTGGCGGCTCTTCTGGGATGGGATTGTGGAGATACGCGAAGCGTGAATAACTGGAATGGGTTTGCTGCGGCGAGAGCCTCATCTGTGAAACTCGCGACGACGCCGTTAGCTACTCTTGCAACCTATTTGCCGAGAAAGTATGTACCTAGAGATTTGTTTGCACGAGCATAGCGTCCAATAGTGCAGCCTAGCTAGCCACCTAGCCATTGTGAGGCTGTCTCACGCGAATCGGCCATTGTAGGACTTGGCGCGCCCGTGCCAGGGAGACATAGGGGGGGGGGGGGGGGGCGCCGAGCCTTCTGATGAGAGGCTGCGGGTAGAATGCCCGACGGCCTCCGCAACTGGGGGATGAATGGTTTCTTGGGGCCATCTTGGAGGCAATCGATCAAACGATGTGGGGCGCTTGTGTTGTCCCCCCGCTCAGGGGCCACGATCGCCGCGATGAGGTGTCAAACAACGGCCTTGCCAATGAGCGGAGGGGGGCCGTCTGACCGCCCGCGGCCTCCCCCGTCCAGGTCCACGGGGGGCGAATGGGGATGGGGCAAACCCCCCAAAACAAGGGAAGAACGAATCTCGTTAGACCAGCTGTCGCCCAGAGAGCTGGTTGCATTTGGCATCATCGTGTTTCTTGTGCTTGCACCGCATCACAATGGCTTCGTGTTCGCTGCCGATCCGAGTGGCGGTTTGTAGCCCATTGGTCGGCGATGCTGCTGCTCCAGTTTTTCGTGGCGACCTGGTATTCTTGGCTCTCCCAGAGCGGTCGCGATCGCTCCCGCCCGCGGCTTGCCCGCCCCCTGGGTCTAGCACCTTGTGTCGTCTGTGCGCCGCGCGCTCGTGCGGGCAGGGGTCCATGCGATTGGCCTTTTCCAGGAAAGCTTTGAAAATCAGATATCGCGCCGCGGAACCTTTCTGGCAAAACCACATCGTCTCCGACGAATTTGGCGAAGCTCCGCGCCGCGTCGGCATAACCTCGGGCACAAACATTTTCTGAAATCCCTGGGGAAACTTTTCGGAAAGAAAAACCTTACTTCGGTGATTTCCACTGGGGGGGGTCTCTACCAGGCGCGCAATTTCTCAACCTTCGGGTGATCAGAGGCTGGGGGGGGGGGGTGACATCGCAGTGGAACGGAGACCCCCAACCGGGAAACCGTTCGTGTCGCGCGCGCGGGCGAGGCGAAGTTGCGTGGGCGCGCGAAGGGAATGAACCCGCCGTTGCTAGGGCGAGGCCAAAACAAATGATTATCCCCCTCCCGCCCGTCCGGCGGTGGCCCGCGGTGTCTCGTGGTGCCCCGTAGTGTCCCGCGGTGTCCCAAAAAGGGAGACCGATAGTGAGATCGATTGTGAGATCCACATGTGTCCCGTGGTGTCCAATGGTGTCCCGTGGTGTCCCGTTGAGTGAGTTCGATAGTGAGATCGATAGTGAGATCGACAAGTGTCCCGCGGTGTCCCGTGGTGTCCCAAAAAGTGAGATCGATTGTGAGATCGATACTGATCTCGATACTGAGATCGACTTGGTGCCCCGAGGTGTCCCGTGGTGTCCCAAAACGTTAGATCGATATTGAGATCGATCGTGAGATCGACAAGTGGCCCGTGGTGTCCAGTAGTGTCCCGTGGTGTCCCGCTGAGTGAGATCGATCGTGAAGTCGATGTCGAGATCGATGAGGTGCCCCGAGGTGTCCCGTGGTGTCCCAAAAGTGAAATCGATAGTGAGATCGATAGTGATATCGATCGTGAGATCGACACGTGTCCCGTGGTGTCCAGTGGTGTCCCGTGTTGTCCCGTTGAATGAGGTCGATAGTGAGATCGACAAGTGTCCCGTGGCGTCCCGTTGAGTGAGATCGATAGTGGGATCGATTGTGTCAGATGTTGGTTCCCCCCCCTCTCCCCCTCCCCCCACAACCTCCTTATCACCCGAAGGGTGGTCGTATGGGTAAGGGGGTTGTGTGGGGAGGGGGGAAGGGGGGAAACAGCATCTGACTCAATCGATATCACTATCGATATCCCACAACGGGACACCACGGGACACCACAGGATAACTATCGATATCACTATCGATATCACTAACGATCTCACTAAACGGGACACCACGGGCCATCACGGGAAACCACGGGACACCGCGGGACATATCGATCTCACGATCGGTTTCACTATCGACCTCACTATCGAGCTCACTCAACGGGACACCATAGGACACCATGGGACACCTCGGGACACCACATCGACTTCACGGTCGATCTCATTATCGATATCATTCAACGGGACACCACGGGACACCACGGGACACCTGTCGATCTCACGATCGGTCTCAGTATCGATCTCACTTTTGGGACACCACGGGACACTTCACGGCACCACATCGATCTCAGTATCGGTCCCATTATCGATGCCACCCAAGGGGACGCCACGGGACACCACGGGAAACCCGTCGATCTCACCATCGATTTCCTTTTTGGGGGCACCACGGGACACCACTGGACACCACGGGACACCCGCCGATCTCACTATCGATCTCAATATCGATTTCACTCAACGGGACACCACAGGACACCACGGGACACCTCGGGACACCGCGGGACACCGTGGGCCACCGCCGGACGGACGGACGGACGGGCGGGAGGGGGAGAATTATTTGTCTTGGCTTCGCCCTAGCAACGGCGGATACCACGGGACACCACGGGGCACGGCGAGCCACCGCCGGACGGGCGGGACGGGGAGAATCATTTGTGTGGACGTCGCCCTAGCAACGGCGGACACCACGGGACACCGCGGGACACCGCGGGACACCGCCGGACGGGCGGGAGGGGGAGAATCATTTGTCTTGGCCTCGCCCTAGCAACGGCGGGTTCATTCCTCTCGCGCGCCCCCGCAATTTCGCAGGGCGTCCGCCCCGGACTCGTATCACAAAGCAGTTTGCGGCGAAGCTAAACCATGGCACCCCGGGGGCGTACAGTGGCAGGAATGCACCGCTGGAGTGCTAGAGCGAGAAGTGGTGACGTGAACTTTCAGGGTTCACAGGGGCCAAAGTCACAATAGCCGCTCCCAGCGACAAGTCTTACGAATGCAGCCTCTCATCCCCTCTGCCGTTCAAAAGCGGGTGGACCGGAACACCCAAAATGCACGAACAGAACGGTACACCCACAGGCACGGACACCCAAACACACACACACACAACCACACCCCCAATCCGAAATGTGGAAAGCCCCAGCCCCCTGCACAGCTGATTGGTGGCTCTGGGGGCAGTGGAGGCCTCCAAGGATCCTGGCAGGGATACCTGAAGGAGGGATGTAATTAAGCAAAGCTGCTCGGAGGGGGAGGGAGGGGGAAGGGAAAGAGGGGAGGGGGGGAGGAGGAAGGAGGAGGGGGGGCGCACCGTCCATGGGGGCGACCATGGCGGGTGGGAGCAAGAAGGAAAGGCCAAAAACAACAGAAGACGACGACGAAAACGAAACCGACAGCGACGAAGGCACACCCCGCGAACCCCCAAGCGACCAAAATCACAGACGACAACGAGTAGCGACATTGGCAGCAAAGAATGTCAACGAACCCGTCCTGGGAGAGCTCGGTTGGTGGTGAGGAGGGGGAGCGCCCGCAACAGTGACACCACGGTGGCACATGTGACACCGCGGCGGCACGGGTCGAACCATTACCTGGGTGTCTGCGTTGCACAACGACGCCGCATGGGTGACACGGGAGTTTGACGGAGCCGCGTGGCACGGACGACGTTGGGCGACCCTTTGGTATTGGTGAATTTGCGGCAGTGGGCGTATGACGCCATAGTGTCACGGATAATGTTGTCATGGCATGGGCAGGCACCGTGAGTTAGCAGGGGATAAATTTTGTTCACGGCTCCATCGAGGACTACGAGGAATTTGGTTGATTGGTTGATTGGTGTAAAGGTGTAAGAATTTGGATGTACGTTTCGGCCCCTCCATACGGCCGTCTTCGGTGGCCGGGGCCGTAGAGAGGTCCTCGGCCCCCTCTGGTGCCTATTGACGGTATGTTGTACTGGTGTATTGGAGATTTGGTGAGAGAGGGCGGGCCCCAAGCAGCCCTTGTGATGGCAGCTGCGAGGGGTGTGAGGGCTATTGAGACATGCGCCAGATGGGCACGATCACGCGGCTCAGGGGTTGGAAAGTGCGAGCAGGTCGAGGACCCGGCGAGGGAGATTCACGTCATGAATTCGTTAGCAACCAGCGGACGTGTTCACATACGCCCCAGCGGAGCTGGATTCGTGTGTTGGCTATTGTGACACTCAAACCGTAGCCCGTGGAGGAGAAGAGGGAAGCCCGCGAACTGTAACTCATCGTTGACAGCTGCATGTCTTGTTTCCGAGTGGCCAGCGACATTTGGACTTGCTCATGCATTCGGATTCTTTTGACCGGGACAATGGCAGGAGACGGTGGCGTAGGTACTAAGATGTGATGTTGAGAAGCCTTTGCGCACTGGATCGCTCGCGTATGCGGAATTCGGAGGGCCTTATGGCCGCTGCCGCCGACCCTGAATGGGGGATCCGATTAGCGCACGACGGCAGGCCGACGAATACACAAGAACGGCTTGAAGAGTCCCTCGAGATTGGAGTGGCGACAGAACACCGTGCCACCTCTATCTTGTTGCCTTCGGCCCATCCCACCACCATGCCTGGTGGCTTCTTGGGTGCCTCTCGGAGGCCTCTTGGATGACTCGGGGGCTCTTGAGGGCCTATTGGGGCCTCCTGGGGGCCTCTTTGGAGCCTCTTTGGGGACTCTGGGGGCCTCTTGGGGGTCTGCTAGCGGTCTCGGGGGTCATCATGGGGCGGATGGATCGACATGTGAGTTCGTGTTCCCCCTCATGGGCCCTTCCTGGGCCGTCTTTTCCGGCCTCTTGGGCTCTCTTGGACCCCTGAGGTCGCCTTAAGGCGATCTTGGGGGCCTTTTGAGCGGCCTACAAGATCGCCCCAAGACGGCCCAAGCTGGGCTGTCTTGGAGCGTTGGAAGACCGAAAGGGCGAGAGCGCTAAGATCAACCCAAACCTTAAGAAACACACGCTCATAATTCTGCCAATCGGGGCCCTTGTGGGGGTCCTCTTAGGGCCCTCTTGGCCCGTTTGGGAGGCCATCTTGGGCAGTCTTTTGGCCATCTTCGGAGTCTTCGACCCAAGTTGCGGAACGAGGGCCAACATGGCTCGAAGGTGCATTTTGACCCAGGACCCCTCCCCAAGACCCCCATTCTGGAACCCCGCTGGGCTTGGCGGGGAAGGGATAAAAAGGACAAGGGCGTCCTTTCGACTCGATTACGACCTGGCTCGATTCACCTCGGGTGTGCAAGCTTGGAGAGCCAAAGTTGGTTGCTGGGAAGGTAGGACAACCTTCCACTCAAAGAACGTCTCCCAGGATCCCCCCAGGATGACGGGCCCAGGATTCTTCGCACACGCCGACGGTCGGCAAATTGTGGCGGCAAGCATGAGATGAAGACGATGTCTCCTTTGTCTAACGATGATTTGTTCGTCGGTGTTTCCTACCGTGAGTGTGGGGACAACGTTGTCCGTGCGTGTCTGTCCTGCTCATCTTCCTCCGCCTCCTCCAGCCTTCTCATGCCTTCTCCTGCTCGTCCTCCTCCCTACCTTCCGCCTCGTTCCGCCTTCGCCCCTCATCGCCTCTCCTGCGCCGGTAACCCTGATTTCCTCGTCTTGCCCCTCGGGATGCCCTCGCGTCAGGACCTGCAGCGGCTCCACGAGCAGCTGCAGGGGCATGTGCAGGACTCGGAGGCCGCCGCTGGGTGAGGGCCCTCCCCCTCCCTCCGGCCGACGAACGATACGGTAGCGATGGCTCTTGCTTGATGTTGCGCCAACTCAAGGTCGAAGCTTGAAGCGTTGGGATGCCAACAAAAACGATCGCCGATTTAGGCGGAGTGAGAAACAACTTAGACCTTGTTGGCGCAGGCAACATGGACCGGCAATGAGGACACCCCCGAGCTGATGTGCCCCCAACGGTTTGTGGATAATTTTTTCAGATCCATGGGAACTAACACAGTTATCCGCAAATCACCAACCCCCTGGACCCCACAGACCTGTGAACGCCCACGCGTCGAGGCACGTCGCTCCTTGCCGCGCTCCCAGGAAGCCTCTCGCGAGGCAAAACAATTCAATTCTCTGGGCGAAGGACCCAACCATATACAGTTGTGGGTACCGCAATTGTGAGTATCTTCTTCGGTGAAGCTCCCTATGGGGCCACGAAGCGCTGCACCGGGTGGGGGGGGAACGCATGCGGGCGGTAGCACTGGGGCCGTCGGTGGAGTTCCCTATGGGACCACGAAACGGTGCACTGGGTGGGTGGAAATGCCAAATGGGGTGTGTGGGACGCATGCGGACGGTCCCACTGGGGGCTTCGGTGGAGCTATGGGGCCACGAAGCGCTGTATTGGGCGGGTGAAAATGCCAAATTGGGCTTCCCGGACACATGCGGACGTTCCCCTGGGGGGTTCGGTGGGACTCCCTAGGGACCACGAAACGCTGTACTGGGTGGATGAAAATGCCAAATTGTGTTTCCGGGTCGCATGCGGACTGTTCCACTGGGGGTTTCGGTGGAGCTCCAAATGGGGCCACGAAACGTTAGATTGGGTGGGCGAAAATGCCAAATTGGGTGTGCGGGACGCGCGTGGGCGGTCCCACTGGGGGTTTCGGTGAAGTTCCTTATGGGGGTCACGAAGCGCTGTACTGGGTAGGTGAAAATGTCAAATTGCGTGTGCGGATATGGGGCCACGAACCGCTGTATTCCGTGGGTGAAAATGCCAAATTGGGAGTGCGCGACGCATGCGGACGGTCCCATTGGCCACGAAACGCTGTATTGGGTGTGGCGGACGCATGTGGCCATGCCCAGTGGGGCCTCCGATGGAGCTCCCTATGGGGCCACGAAGCGCTGTACTGGGTGTGGGGGACGCATTTGGCCACCCCCACTCGGGCCTTGGGTGGGGCTCCCTATGGGGCCACGAAACGCCTTACTAGTTGTGGCGGATGCATTTTGTACCCCCACTGGGGCCTTACGTGGAACTCCCGATGGGGCCACGAAACGCTGTACACGGTGTGGCGGACGCATGTGGTACCCCCATTGGGGCCTTACGTGGAGCTCCCTATGGGGTCACGAGACGCTGTACTGGGTGTGGCGGACGCATGTGGTCCCTATTGGGCCACGAAGCGCTGTACTTGGTGTGGCGGACGCATGTGGTACCCCCCACTGGGGCCTTCGATGGAGCTCCCTATGGGGCCACGAAACGCTGTACTGGGTGTGGCGGACGCATGTGGTACACCCACTGGGGGGGGGCATGGGGGCCGTTTCTTCAAAACGAGGACCCAACACCACAGGACAGTTGGGAAAAAAACATGTGTACGGATATAACGGCGCACCGGGGCCCGGGCCCCCAGGGCCGCGGCCTCTACCACAAATGGGGGTGCACAGTGTCATTTCCCGTGTCTTTTTTCAGCGTTTCGGCGACCCAGGGCCTTCGGTGGCCCCCAGAAGCTGCAGGGAGGCCGCAGCGACGGCTCCGGATGCCTTGAAGCCGGTTCTACAGAGTTCCAAGACCCTGCACCAGATGGTTCCAACAGGCAAACAAATACGATTTTCCATTGCTTTTCCAATGTGAGCTTGCGACGCTTCGAGCGTGCCCCGCAATGCTTCAAGACCGCGCCCAAACCGCCCGAGAGACCCCCACATGATTGCTCCAGGTCAGCCCAACAGGACTCCAACACTGCTATCTATATAGGTGTATATATGTATTCTCTGACCGTCGCCGTACTATCCAGGGGGCCCAAGAGGCTTGCAGGGTGTTTAGCGGAAGCAGTTTTGACCCCTCTCGGGGGCTTTTTTGGCGTCTCTTGAGGTGTTTGTTTGCGCCTCTTGGGGGGCTGGGGCATGTTGGAGGCCTCTGTGGGGTTCCTTGGTGCCTCTCGGGGGCCGATTTGGGGCCGTCTTGGGCATCACATAGAATGCACCGCATAGATTGGACCGCATAGATTGCATTACATTGCATCCTCTTGGGCCGTCTTGGGGCCCTCTTGGGCCGTCGTGGGGGCCTCTTGAGTGCCTCTTGAACCGTCTTGGTGCAATCTGGGGGGCGTCTTGGGCCGTCTTGGAGCGTCGGGAAGGCGAGACGCTGTTGATGCCGAAGACGTACGTTTTACCAAGGGATGTTGGCGATTTTGGCCTCTCGGGGCTCCCTTGGGAGGCCTCTTGGGGTGTCTTGGAGGCTGTTTTGGTGTCTCTTGGAACCTTTTTGGGGTCTCTTGGGGGCCTCTGTGTGGTTCCTTGGTGCCTCACGGGAGCCGTTTTGGGGTCCCTTAGGGCCGTTTTGCGCATTTTGGGCTGTCTTCGGGCCCTCTTGGGCCGTCGTGGGGGCCTCTTGTGTGCCTCTTGGGCCGTCTTGGGGCAATTTGGGGGGCATTCCCTTGGGAGGCCTCTTGGGGTGTCTTGGGGCGAGAAGGGGGCCTCTGGGAGTGTCTTGGGGCCATGGGCGTCTTGCAGCCCTCTTCTTGGCTCAGCTTGGGGCCCTCTGGAAGCCATCAGGAGCCGTCTTGAGCCCTCCAGGCGCGCTCGGGGACATAACGGGGAACCGAACCCAGGGACCCCGGGGCCGCGACCCCGACCGCAAATGGGTGTGCTGGGGGCCCCAGGAGGGCTCCCTGGGCGCCGGGGGCCCTCTAAGATCGCCCGAAGACGGTAGAAATCGCCCTTCCGGACCGCCAAAACGACCACTGACGGTAGAGATGACCCTACAATTAGCCCCAGATGTTTCACGAGGCTTTTCAGACGCCCCAAGAAGCAAGAAGCCTCCTGGAGGCCTCCCAAGAGCGCCCGAAGAGGCAGCAATCGCTGATTTTCAATAGGTTTTTGCAAGATTTTCGAGTTCTCGCCTTGTCAGTTTCCCGACGCTCCACGGCGGCCCGAGAGGCCCCCGATGTCCGCTCCAACACAGCCGAAGAGGCCTCCAAGAGGGCCCCAGGACGGCCCAAGATGGCCCCGACACGGCGCCCGAGGCGTCTAAGACGGCCCAATGAAGGACACAGGATGGGTAACCCGAACCGACAATCCGAGCTTCCACCTCGAAAGGCGCCCTGGAGGGCCTAAGAGGCCCCAAGAGACCTCCCAAGAGCGCCCGAAGAGGCAAGAATCGCTGATGTTCCGTAGGTTTTTGAAGGCTTTTCGAGTTCTCTCCTTTTCAGTTTCCCGACGCTCCAAGACGGCCCCAGAGGCCCCGAAGACCGCTCGAAGACAAATGAATAAGACTCCAAGAGAGCCACAAGACGGCCCAAGAAGGCGCCAAGACAGTCCCTGAGACGCCCAAGACGGCACGAGAGGGCCCCAAGACGGCTCCAAGGCAGGCCCAAGAAGAGGAACACGAACCCAGAAGTGTCCGGAGGGTCGTAGTTCTCGAGACGCCC